GTGTTTAATCTTTTACTTTCCAATCCATTATTAATGTAATCTAATCAAAGCCAATCACTTTTAGAATGTATTATTAAATATATTTCGTAACTCTCTTTTGCCCATTTGGAAACAAGTTCTAAAGATTGGCTAACATTACGTCTGGATAGTACGACATTGTTCCCGAATTAGCAGGCTGTTCATTTGTTATAATGTTATTGGGTGAAATCATGAGCGAGCCTTAGCGAGGCAGGTATCGAACCTGCTCGGCTCTGCGATTTAATACCGTGCAGCATCGCTTAAGGCCCAGGAGCCGGTTGTATAAAACTCTTAATCACTTTTTAATCACTATTTTGTAGTTAATAGTGATTAACTCTCAAATACGCGCTTCTTATTGGATGACATTTCCAGTAACTATAGTTAACTTTAATCACTTTTTTTATACAACCGGCCCCAGGCTAATACAGACCGGACGCTATTTGGCAACGCGACGCGAATTTTCAGTTTTCAATGACATTTAATTAAATCCGTTGACGGTTTTATTTGTTTTTGAAAACTGAAAATTTGCGTCGCGTTGCCGAATCGCGTCCGGTCTGTGTGGGCCTTTAACCTGTATGTATATTTCGGCGTAAAGCCGGTTTCCACTGGCGATTTTTTTCGCGCGAAGCGAATTTATTCCTTTGTCTTCGGGCAATTTGTTCCAGATGGTTGCAGCTGAGAGCTCTAAAACAGTAGCAAAATGTCGCTTCGCGCGAAAAAAATCGCTAGTGGAAAACCGGCTTAGCGGTTCTTGACCTAGTCTGTGCACAGACTTTCCCTTCTCCCCCCCCCCCGGTGGTAGGAAAACATCCCGTGAACCAGGGGGGAGCGGGTACAGTTTGCGAGCAGACCACCTGCACGGCGAAATTCCTCGCGCGAAATCGTGTCTGGGAAATATGGACGGCTCCACATGAGTGATTCTATTGAATTTGCACATTTTTTTTTGCTTTCGTAGTGTGTAGAACTGACTTCTACTCACTGGCGAAGCGAAATATTTTCTCGCGAAGTCTAATTTACAAAATTGCTTCCTACATGTAGTGGATAGGCAGTAACTACTAAAGTATGGCGCATTGCCAGCCAATGGCGGTTAATAAGAGACATTAGCAGATACTGACAGTACTCTACAACTGACAAGTAAAATCGTCTGGCGTTACAGAGTGTTAATACTAAAGTGGGGTGCATTGTCAGCTAATGGGTATGCCGTTTATCCACTTTTGACTCAATGGCAACTTTTTCATGTTGGTTATTTACTCATGTTCCGTGCACGCAATTTAAGAATAAGTTCATTGGGTCAAAAGTAAACTCCCCTTTAGAGTGGTTTTGCATTCAGTTCATGTGGCAAAAAAGGCAGCACTTTCCTTGCGATAGTAACTCCTAGTTTATCTTTACTGCGCATGCACGATTTCATTTCGTGCGAAATGTTTCGCATTTCGCCAAGAAAAAGCGCCCGTGAAATCAGGCCTTTGAACCAAGATGAAAGCTAAGTATTTTACATAAATATGACACTAGTTAAGTACAATAAAACCATGCATACATGAAATGTTTGTAATTTATATCTACACTAACCTGAAGTTCGGGCCCTAATTTGAAATAGGGCCTGACACAAAACCTGTCTAGACCGTGGGACGCCCACATGTTATTTTTAGACACAACATGCAATATGATTGACAAGTGTTGTAGATTTCGTTACACAAAAAAATTTTATTCTCATGAACATGTCCGCAGTGTGTGCATTTTGCTTTTTAATTAAACTTAAAAATTCAAGGTACTTTTATATCATTAAGAGTTAGTGATTAAGAGTATAATTAAGAATTAGTCAGTTCTGTGCACGGCTTGATTGCCAAGCTTTCTCAAGGTCTCAACTTGCTGGACGCGGATATACTCTAACGGGCTAACAACAGCAACAATGGAATTTTCAATCGTGCCACGAAGAAGGCGATGTAGCTCAGAAAACAACGCCGGTAGGATCTGATATTAAAAATAAGACTTTGCCGGCGAAGCCAGTTGGCAGAACATCAACAACAAGCTTTCGAATACATGACTAGTTTGGCTGTTCTTTCAACGTCGTGTGTCCAAAATTCGTCAAATATTTTGATAAAGCCCTTTCAAAATACTGTTTGTTTGATTTATTTTCTGCCATAAAGCATAAAAGAAAAGAAATTCGAAGAAATCGATAATGGATATGTTACGTGCGTTTGACCTTTATATTAATTGTCGCCTTGAGCCCTTCACCGAGCTATGTTTATGTGAACTTGCAACCAATCAAAATCCTTCATGATGCTGATCAACCAATCAGATTTCCCGTCCACCAGATGGACGGGAATCCCACAGTTTAGATAGGTTTTGTGCCAGGCCCTATTCTGTGATTAGGGCCTGAACTTTAGGTTTTCCATCTAACCTTATAAGTTGTGCCGCCATATTGTGATTTTCTTGTGCGAAAATGGAGACCGATGCGAATGCTAAAGCCTATGATGAAGTCAGTGGACCACAAATCGAAGCAGGTAGTCAATTTATCCGTGAGTTAAACCTCTCCTTAGGAGACAAAGTGCTTGACATGGGTTGCGGTACAGGCCATCTCACTAAATATATCGCTGATATTGTTGGCCCTGATGGTCAGGCCGTCGGAATCGATCCCGATGTTGAGCGAATCAAAATTGCTGAAGAGAAATCTAAAGAAGTCGCTAATCTTCAGTTCTATGTTGGTAGCAGTGGAATTGGATTTCCAAACGATAATGAGCCATATTACGATGTTCATATCAGCACGCATGCTTTCTATTGGGTTCCTGATGATGAGAAAAGAGTTTACATACAGAAAGCACACCAATGTTTGAAGGCTGGGGGGAAACTGGCCATCTGGTGTGCCGCAAAGATACCGAATTTGGAGAAAGTCGAAGGAATTCATATGTTAACCCAAGAGGGCTATCGAGATATGTTTCAAGAGGTCGGTCTCTTCAACAATGTTGTGGTGGACAGACCGATCTACCCATATCGATACGAATCATTTGAAGAATTCAAGCGATGGTTCAAAGCTACAGGTCGCCAGGACTTGGAACCTGACAAACATGCGGACTTAGTTATGAAATTCGTGACCACAGAAGATGACGGGCAAGTTACTCTTAAAGTGCCATGTATTCGCATCACAGCATGCAAACATTGATCGGGATAAAATGGCCTGCAGTGATTCATGTACAGTATATATGTCCCTGCATTGCTTGTACCCATAGTAGCCTAAACGACTTTTGCCAATGAAATAAATATGCTTCCGCCTAATGGCATAAGCTGTAGCTCAGACTCGGCCGAATTCCGTGTATTTCAGAGGTATATGGAAAGAGAGTTACAGATCGACGTTTATGGCAGACCGCAAACGGGAAACCTTAAATCGTATTTTAAGGTCAACTGTTAGTTGTTCCAAGTTAGGAAATTTGTGAATTCAAATTGAATATAGTGTTGTCAAAGTGCCTTGTTTGGACAACTTGAATATTCCAATGATGATTGACAGTTAATCGGACAGTGAATAGTTTAGTGATTTAGTATTGGAACGGTGAAAGCAAACAAAGGTTATGTCTGTATAGAGATCTACTCTTCAACTACAGTCAGGGACGTAGCGACGGGGGGAGGGGGTATAGGGGGTGTGACGAATTGATAATGTGTGTTTAATCTTTTACTTTCCAATCAATTATTAATGTAATCTAATGAAACCCAATAACTTTTAGAATGTATTATTATTATACTTATAAACTCTCTACGGCGTTGAAGATGGTTTTGCCCATTTGGAAACAAGTTCTACATTGGTGCCGAGTTAGGGAGGGGTCATTATTTATGGCGGGGGGTGGCACCGAAGAGAAAAGGGTTGGGTAAACAAAATTTTGAGTGAGTAAAAGGTTGGGTAAATGAAAAACAAAACAACTCAAGGGTTGGGTCATAAAAATTTGTTGTCATTTCCAAAGCATCACTCATTCAAATATTGAAGACTAAAAAGCAATGTCAACAGTCATATGTAGATACAATATGTGAATCAATCAGAGTCATTATCTTGATCATTTTCCGATTTGTTGCATGGGAGACAAATGGTGTCTCCAAAGAAACAACATGTGCAGACAATATGAAACTTTAGACTGCAGAAAGCCGTTATCAAACTCATGTCACAGAAGTGGTAAAGGTATCCTTTTGTAAAGTTTTTGGCCAGGGGTGGGTATTTATTTTTTAATTGACAGTTGAGGTTGGGTAATCAAATTTTTGACTTTCTAATGGTTGGGTCAGCAAAATTTTTACCACGAAAAACATTTCTCTTCGGTGCCACCCCCCGCCATAAATAATGACCAGTCCCTTAGCAGGCAGTTTATTTGGTCATTGGGTGAAATCATGAGCGAGGCAGGAATCGAACCTACGATTCCGGTTGACCTTTATGAACCAAAATGAAAGCTAAGTATTTTACAGAAATATGACACTAGTTAAGTGTGATGAAACCAGACATGCATGAAATGTTTGTGATTTAAATCTACACTATAATTTGTGCCGCCATATTGTGATTTTCTTGTGCGAAAATGGAAGCCGATGCGAATGCTAAAGCCTACGATGAAGTCAGTGGACCACAAATCGAAGCAGGTAGTCAATTTATTTGTGAGTTAAACCTCTCCTTGGGAGACGAAGTGCTTGACATGGGTTGCGGTACAGGCCATCTCACTAAATATATCGCTGATATTGTTGGTCCTGATGGTCAGGTAGTCGGAATCGATCCCGATGCTGAGCGAATCAAAATTGCTGAAGAGAAATATAAAGCAGTCGGTAATCTTCAGTTCTGTGTTGGTAGCAGTGCAATTGGATTTCCAAACGATACTGAGCCGTATTACGATGTTCATATTAGCACGAATGCTTTCCACTGGGTTCCTGATGACGAGAAAAGAATTTACATACAGAAAGCACATCGATGTTTGAAAGCTGGGGGGAAACTGGCCATCTGGTGTGCCGCAAAGATGCTGAATGAGGAGAAAATCGAAGGAGCTCATACGTTAACCCAAGTCCAAGAGGGCTATCGAGATATGTTTCAAGAGGTTGGTCTCTTCAACTTCAACAATGTTGTGGTAGATGCACCGATCTACCCATATCGAATTCAATCATTCGAAGAATTCAAGCGATGGTTCAAAGCTTCAGCTCGCCAGGATCTGGACCCTGACAAATATGCGGACTTAGTTAAGAAGCTTGTTACCACAGAAGATGACGGGCAAGTCACTTTTAAAGTACCATGTATTCGGATCACAGCATGCAAAAATTGATCGGGATAAAATCGCCTGCAGTGATTCATGTACAGTGTATATGTCTCTGCATTTCTTGTACCCATAGTAGCCTAGACGACTTTTGCCAATGAAATAAATACGCGCGTTTACGGCAGACTGGAAACGGCAATCCTCAAACTAAATCGTATTTTGAAATAATAATCTTTATTCATCAAATACCAATACAGGCACATATGGATTATGGAATTACATACAATAAAAGATACAAAACGTATATAAGATTATACAAAGAATGCATTTGCATTTTTTATAAATTATTAATGATAATATGCATGGTTACGTATCATGAAAATATTTTTCCACTATTAGATTTATCATGTATATTTATAATATATAAGAATAAATTATTTGTATCAAATAAGCGGAAAGAACTATTGACACTATATAAATTGTTTAAAAAAGTATTTCGAGTTTCTGAAATTTTTTGGTTGGAGCATGACAATAAGTAGTGAAAATCATCTCCAATTTCATTTGATTGACATAAGCATAGTATGACATAAGGTACAAAAGCAATCTTTGTATGGTGTTTTATTATATCTGCCAGATTCCACCGGTAGTTTGTCTCATTTTTGTTATTGCTTGCCGATGTTTGATATTTCATATTTCATGGAGGTATTCTTCAAGTACAAAATTATTCTTAACTTAGCTTGTGCGAGAGTTCTTAATTTAATGAGGTTACATAGTAACCAAGGTTAATGTAATAGGAACCGCGCGCAGCCTGGGTACGACATGTACCCTCGGGATATCGGATATAGAGAGTGCCAAGCAGACTCCCAGGTCATTAGCTAATTCATAGCCATTAGCCAACTGCAATAGTAATCTAATAATCTATTTTTTAATATGTACCTACATTATGTAAACTTTCAAGTGGGAGAGAAATACCGTTTAATTATCCCAAATCACATAGTTTTAATATATAGTTTGTGAAGTTGACTGCCCGAGTATTCGATTGAATAGAGTATTCGATTGAATATTAAAACTCGCTGCCTCTCCTACAAGAGTATTCATATAATTCGGAGCTTCAATTTGTATCCAATATGTTGTCACTAGAGTAGAGATCTGTACTATTAGAGGGACTTTACTTAGTTTCACTACACGTTACACCTACTTTACATAATAATCTATAGTTAACGTTTAAAATGGCCAAAAATGTGAAATGTCTCATTATTTTTGCACGCGATTGTAGGATGATTGATAGTTAATTGGACAGTGAATAGTTTAATGATTTAGTATTGAAACGGAGAAAGCTAACAAAGATTTATGTCTGTATGACGGTCTATGACACGTAGCTCGGCAGGCTGTAGAGATCTACACTTCAAGGACGGTCAGGGACGTAGCGACGGGGGGGGGGGGGGATGG